CGTTTTTAAACATCAATGACGGTACGTATACGTATTCCCGTGATGCGCGGTAGGTCTAGTAGTTATTTGCTCAGGTGACCTATTTACATCTTAAGTTGCGGTCACATCTTACGGTCACGCATGTAGTTGACCGTAGTTGACTGTAGTAGACCGTAGGTGACCTTAGTTAAACGTATTAAACGTAGTTAGACGTAGTTCAACATAGTTATAAACTTCAAGAAACCCATGATTTGGCCGTGGTTAGCCCAAAAATGTTCAACACGTTCAAAATATATCTACGGTGAGTTTGGATGCCAAGACCCTACTTGACCGTAGTGTTTACCGTAGTTTACCGTAGTAACACTACGATTAACACTACGCTCCCTGTGATCTTCAAAGAACAAACATCGGCCTGGTGATTGGTCATGATTTTTTTCCCTGATACCAATCAAATAGGGGTGTAGAGAGCGAAAGTGAGCGTCACCCCTGGATGGTTTGAAGTACTGTAAATTACGGTTAACTTATAGAGTCAACTAGGGCGAGGTAGGGTTAAGTAATGTTGAATTTAGGAGTTAGGGTTAGGTTAGGGAACTACGTCTAACTACGTTTAAATTGTTTAACCAAGGTCACCTACGATCTACTGCAGTCAACTACGGTCATACCCCACTACAGTCAACTACGGTCATACCCCACTACAGTCAACTACGGTCATACCCAACTGCAGTCAACTACGGTCATACCCCACTGCAGTCAGCTACGGTCATACCCCACTGCAGTCAACTACGGTCATACCCCACTGCAGTCAACTACGGTCATACCCCACTACAGTCAACTACGGTCATACCCCACTACAGTCAACTACGGTCATCCCCCACTACGGTCATCTACGAGCGTGACCGCAGCTTTAAAAGGACCACTACCGAGCAATTTGAAATCTCGTTTCCGACTTTGGGGATCACGTAATTCATATAGACAATATCCTGCATGTACATTCAATGGAGGAAAAGACGATCGTCATTTCTCCATAACTACCATTAGTTAATCGTAAGGCTCACGATACATTTTAACACATATTAGTTTTCTATTTTGACATGATGATATAATTATTGTACGTACAATTAATTAACACCTCGCATCACCCAAGTAATGATTTATTTAACGTTTATTCCTAGAGTCACTCTGGGATTAAACAATCTAGCTTTAGAAACCCGACTTCGATCACGTACAACGATTCTACTTCCATTACGACACATGCTTAGGCGGCTGAGAGTGACGAAGGATTCATTGTTCTGTTGAGAAAAAAACCGGTTGAAATGTTACCACATTTGATTGAAGGTGAGAAAGATCATTTATTTGAATAAACTTGTATTATTATACTACGGTAACCTACAGGACAAGCATTATGTATACAGGCCTGATTGTTCAGAAGAAGTCTTTCAAAGATTTTAACACCGTTGATCTCCTTGTAGCCTTGACAGTACATCGCGGTCATACATTTATATACAAATAATGTAGCCATCCTCTCAAATACCAAGCTGGACTCGATATCATTACTCAAATCATCATGGGTTTATACAAACTGTCGGGACTTCTGAACATAGTTGACCCGTTTCTTTGAAAGTATGCCAATTTTATTTTTTATTTGAACCTTGATTTGATAGCCTTTATCACAGCAAACTACAGGCCCAATTTCACGACCATTTCCCTAACGAACAAACAAAACACTTCCACCAAAGCAACGACATATCAAATATCATGATTAGGCATTATACTGCCATAGAAGTTCTTCAAATGTTCAACTCCCTTGACCCTTGTACATTTTGAAAGTACATCATTGTCATCTATTTGAACGATATCCGAGTCTTTCAACCTAGCAAGCGACAGGCCAAATAGGACTGTTGAGACTCTAGGCCTCAATGGTTCCGCAGAAGTCTTTGGAATTTTTATCACATAACCATGACCTTGAAATTGGGCAAGGGTGATATATTTAAACAATCTGACCGGACAAATAGCATGACTCTACACCTTATACTAGTTCTGTAGATGGTTTTTAAAGACTTTACATTTGACCTTTGTGACCTTGGAAGTCGTTCAATGCCATATCCTTGAACACAGCTGATAGCCCTTCATCTGCGTGAGCAACAGGGCAAATACCATCGTAAAGATTTCAGCATTATAGTTCTATATAAGACGTTGAGTAGTACAGTGGATAACGCACCCACCTTTCACCAAAGCATCCGATGTTTGATTCACCGATCTGACGTGAAAAGGTATGTGGTCACCTGCCCGACCACGTGGGTTTTCTCCGGGTACTCTAGATCTGGGGTAACAACAAGAGATTTGGCCCGAGTTTCCTCTGGTCCCAACATCACACTTATCTATTGGTCCAAGTCTAGTGCCAGGGCCAGAGAAAACTCGGGCTAGACTAGACTGGAATTCGAACCCTAAACTTCAGATTGTTATACTATCTCTGTATCTGGTCGACGGCAGTGTACTAGCTTTAGTCCAAACATTCTACAGTTATATCCAAACGGAAAATAAGGGGAGATTACTGTATATAAGGAAAATGGCAGTGTAATAGCTTTAGTCCACACGTTCTACAGTTATATCCAAACGGAAAATAAGGGGAGATTACTGTATATAAGGAAAATGGCAGTGTAATAGCTTTAGTCCACACGTTCTACAGTTATATCCAAACGGAAAATAAGGGGAGATTACTGTATATAGGGAAAACGGCAGTGCAGTGGGACAGGAACCCTTAAGGAAATTTTGATTCAAGACGACAATGTGCTATTGATAAGCTTACATACACTTTCTTACATTGCCAGTGTTGAAAGCACTGCCATTGGAGGATCACAGGTTAATATCAAGTTTACAGTGTCAACAGAAAATCAGAAGACTCAAGAGTAGAATATACGGTTTATTTAGGATATACACATGTAAGCACAGATAGCAGTTATAGACACAAAGCTGGGCCTGCCTGTGTGAGAAGTGAAGGATTTACTTTTCTAAAAATACCTAATCTGATTAAAATCATTTTGTTACATGGCTCCATGAATTTCTTACTACACAAAGGTGGAGCCATAATCAGATTGAAAAATATCACAACTATTTGGCATTAAACTGCATTCTGTTATGAATCTGAGTTTAGGTCCTCTATTTCTAAACAGGATTGTAGACAAATCAAATAAAACACAACATGCACAATTTTAATGATGTCATAATAATCATTACATATCTATTGTTCATAAATCACCACTGACTGGTAAGATTGTATGGTAACCATGCTGAGCACATGTGAATATATGATAGCATTCCATCCCTTTAGGAAGATAAAAACAAATCCTAAAACAAGTAATACTCCCGGTGTTACCTAAACTATGGAATATAAATCTTTGTAAGTAGATAATTATTGTCAAGGCCAATAATAGTGTTTACATTAGTATTGTACAATGATAAATATGTACTGATGACATAACTGCTTTGAGTGAAAAAGATGGTGAAGAATAGTCAGTAAACAATTATAACAATGTACATCTATGGATGGAAAGTGAATGCCCAGACTTTCATGTCAAGCCAAATATATCACTATTACTTGTCACAGCCACCAATGATGTCTACAAACAAAATGATCAATGGTCAATAAGACCGATACAGATATAATCCTAGCACTACTCTATAGTGAGGACTAAATATGTTTGGCTGTAACAACTACACCTTCAAACATTACATGCTAACAATTAAACTTTGTTAGACATGTGATAAAAACAAATAATTCCAAATGACAAATTAAATTACATTACCCCCCCCCCCTTGCTTTAAATAACATTTTATTAAGATATCCCACAGAGGTTTTAGTATTTTTGGTTGAAATGCAATAAATTGTTCAAGAACAGAAGGCATTTAAAGCCAAATTTCCCCCTTTTGACATTGCTCCTCAGCTCCTAGGGTAATGAACTCATCTTTTATATAACAATTTATTGCACAATGACAAAGGTATGAATATTTTCATTTGTATGTTATGTTGTGTATACTTGTAATATATATATATATATATATAAAAAAGTAGTTAATGAAAATAAATGAGACTTGAGCCAATGAATCCAGATAACACGAGTACATTTGTTTCTCTGTGCCAAACAACTGTATATCATTAAAGGTACGGATTTCAACAATTGTTATGTAATGACTCGTATACTAATTGCCCAGGGCAGGGACGGACCCTGAAGCCAGTCGTTGTACTACGAATATATTGTCTTTTCATGCCTAGCAATTGTATATATAATGGTTACAGGGTAGGTTTCTCAACTGCTTCTAGGGCTCTAATGGTTCACCAGGCTCACAATTCGATTTGATTCTCAATTATTGCTGCTAAATTTTGTTATCTTTGATTTTGATTAATGTTATTCACCATAGCAGATGCTATTTACTTTCACATCTTACAAAGCGTAGAAGTAAGATAAAATAAATGCAAAACCTTTATTTATAAAGCTTTAATAAGAAGTGTAAATGATAATTACAAAACAAATCTTGGTAATTAGGGCTTTATACATTTGCATCACATTTGGTTAAAATACATCAACTGGAATTGAAAATGAGTTACCAGTAAAATGTTCTGGCCAACAACAGCACATGATAGCTGTCCTGGAATTTCAAATCACCAGGAAAATAACATTACTACACCTAATATCAAAGTTTTACTTTATGTACAAACAATGTACGTATTAAACATGTCGCAACAGAAAACTAAAAATATGAACAGAGACGAGGGGGACCCCAGCTGAGTCATCTGTGTGACTCGATACTGACATAAAGGGAGAGGGGCTTAATCTACACCCTACATGTAACCTTTTCAATTCAGTGTGTATACGCTCTCAGTTCTCTATCAATATGCGAAACGACCGGAGTTGTGTGACATACAAAATCTACAATTTCGTCACATCGTTGTAAAGGTAAAAAATATAAATCATCACAACTTGACAAAGGGACCAGTTGTTCTTGAAACGTTGCAACACGTTCAATATGTACATTGTTTGTGTATATAGTAAAATAATTTTCTGACCAAAGAGATTTTTACAGAAAATTGACAAAATACAGATCTATATATAGTGAATTTAACACATAGTTTCATTAAAATAACATGCTGACAATATCTCAAACTACATGTTTCAAATCTGTGGTTAACAATTTCTCCTCTACCTAATAGGTCAGATCCCCTCTCCTATTTGGCCAAAAATTAGCTACAGCTCTTTACACATCGTGTGGGCAATTTATGCAACATTTGGACAGAAGAAAATCCAGAAATCAAGGTCCCAAAATACACTGTTACATCAATCCTTAGTCAAGCCTATCATTTAAAGATTTGTCTATTTTTTAGCCAGGTGATCTCTTTTACTAATGATTACAATAGTTAACTAGTACATGTATTTCAAATGAGTATGAAAATAGCATTTTTCAGTCATGAAAATTCAGTCATTAGTCTGTTTCAGAATCGTGGATCATTTTATCATCAGAAAAGTCTTCCAAATGAAATTAAATGTACAAAAGGAAGGCAACTGTTAAATAGCTATTGACTGTAATTTGCATTTCAATAACTGGCACGAAATCATTACAGATTTGAGATTAGTTATTACAGAACTGACCACAGCTTAGAGCTATCTTGGAATAATTTCCTGCATGGAAAGAATGAACAAGCCAGCTGCTTCTTCCAAGCCAACAAATTTAGAATCTGACAGCATCTAAAGTTTGCCTTTAAAATGAGATTAATTAATAGTTATCCTAAAGCTATTGTAATGCAAACATGATAACATCATAAATAGCCTTGGGGAAGCCCTTCTGTTTCTGAGACTGAAGCAGTTTCAGCCCTGATTTCACTATCAGTTCCAGTGTTTCATCTGTGGTTCTCATATAGCTACTGTCGGTTGCATCAAACACCTTCTCAGGACTACAGTTATCTTTGAGAACGACAACACCATTTTCACAAAGTCCATCCTGACATCGTTGTAGAAACTGTACAAAGTGGTCATCTGTAAGATGTCCTGTGACCCATTGTATCCAAATGACATCATATTTTCCCTTATCTGGTGTGAAGTCCTGAAGTCCACAGCAGTAGCATTTTCCTATACGCTTAAATTCTTCTCCAATATGTTTTGGAGCTCCATCAAGAAAACCTTGATTCAATTCCACCATGTCTACCGAGTCAAACATTGGAAGGAGAAGTCGTTTTGTTATTCGCCCAATGCCAGCTCCACAGTCAATGGCTTTCTTAGTACCAGAACTGCCACCTCCAGTCTTTTAAAAAATAAAAGATTTCATTTTTTATTAAAATATTTATATTCATAAACTTTTTTATTTCATTTTTTTCTTTTTGATATTACGAGTATAGGAATACACAAGATAACATACAAATGAAAATATTCATACCTATGTAAACATACAATTAACAGATGTAATTATAATTAGTTCAAATTATCTTTAAACATATATACCATCAAAATATATATATATAATAGCAGCATTACTGTCAGCAAAATTTCTACTTTACAAGTTGTTTTGAAGAGTAAAATGGGAAAAATTTCCATTTAAACAGTATAGATGAATCATGTTTATGTCCCTGTTATGGGGCAGCTTGTGGTGGTCAGCATGACCAAATCATTTGAATAGTACATATATGAACCTTGTTAAGTGGTTGCTAAGAAAGTTCAGTGATACTGATAAAATTGTGTGCCAAATGGCTTAATGCATGTCTAATTAGGGATCACAGCTACTGATCACCATGAGGTACCCAATTTATCACAACTGTTGATGAGGTGTTAGTGAAACTTTGCTTTTTGTTTATCAAGTAAAATCTTCTGTGGTATTAATAAATCTGAGTCATATTAATATTAACTGACATGCATATGTCACTCATTGTTAAACTTCTTCATTGGTAATATATCCTGGCCACAGGGAATAGTTTCTAATTACACTATAAGACAAGACACCCAAGTTGTAAATGTTATAGCCAGTTTTTTGAAGATTGTATGCACTGTCACAAAGTTTATAAAAAAAAAACCACTTTTGTGTCAACAAAACCACGACACAATTATAGCTCAAAAGTTAAAGGAGAATGAGACCAGGTGTTTAGAAAGGATAAGCGTCTTCTGCTTCATTGAAGACACCCGCCATGTAAATCTAAGTCGAATCCAAGTTATTATTGACACGAAATTCAATTTCAATCGTAGCCTAGATAACGTACCGTTAGTAACGGTCGGAGAAATGCCCTTGATCCGTTTATGTCAGTGACAGATATCTGTCCAAACCCCCCTAACATTCCATCGATTGTTGAAGGAACATTTTTCCAATACGACTCTGCGTCGTCATAAAATTTCTTCTCGTCTTTTACTTCTGAGGCCATGGCAAATTTTCAATTTTTTGTTTCTCGTGGTTGATGATTTTTCGCGCCGGAAGTACTGTTGGTAGTAATAAAACTCGTAGTCTGACCTTTCCCGATCCGCGCACGACCCGACCCAGATCTCGGTCAAAATGTTAAAACACTAGTAATGAGATATATATTTAAGACTTCAGATTCACCAAATAATTTCTTATAATCAAATTCAAAATGTTACAATTGTTTGAAGTTAATTCATACGTTTTTATCAAGGATAAAGTAAGTTTCGTGAACATTACAGTAACTGAAAGCGAATCGGGGAAGGAAAGAGCTACTAGTTTTTATCCCGCCAATCAATACTCTTCGGATTATCTCAGAGTAGTGGTAAAAAGCAGAAGTAAACAGAATGCGCTGTTTAGAGATTATATTTACAGTTAATAAGCTTTTAAATTTTATTAATCGATAAAATATACGGTTTTGACACACATTTGATGCAAATTTTTCTAAGTTCATATAAAAAGTTGGAATATATAAATATATAAAATAGAGATATTTAGATTGAATAACTTAAACATTATTCACATTTAGAGGCTATAAATATTTTAGTTATGGAAGAATCGTCTATAAACAAATTCTGGAATTGATAACAACTTTATGTTACATCTAATTACAAACACAGCCGAACAAAATGCAGGCGGAAGATGCACGTTATCTAAAAAGGTTGTTATTTGAAAGTAGAAAACTCGTGAATTAATGTTGATTTTTATTTAATTCTCATACATTTTTGAACATCGGCAATGTGACTGTAACAACTGGCACTGGACATGGTGCACAAAAAATGTTTGGCACACTAATATGTAGAACTAGATTGTATTAGCTCTAACAGTCTCTGTATATCAGCACAATTGAAGATCGTGTAATATCTTTACTTTTCTGTTGTTTGTATTTATTTTTGTCCTTTGTTTTTTAAAGTGTGCAGAGATTTGTGTTTGGACGAATATTTCCATTGATCTTGAAACATGTCATTTCACTCCTTTGTGATGTCCAGTTTTTATGTCCTGCAAAAACTTGATATGACTACACAAAAATAAAATGTGTACAGTGGTCATGTACCTCGTCATTCTTTAAAATGGGACAGATTGACAACTATCCAACTTTTACTGAATTTCGGATGTCAATTTTGACATATCAGGCTAGGTACATCTACTATGTTAACCATCAACTGATTTGTTTGTTTGTTGATTATCCATTCCCTGCAGTTTTCACTTATATAAGTTATCACTCATAATGGTATTGAAAGATAAGTTTACATTCCAGCTGATAATGCCTGTTGGTGTTTTTTTTATATGTAATTCTGATAACTTGATTCTGATGATTTTTTCCTCTAAAACACAGGAAAGTTAAAGGCGGGACCATCGACATTCATCCCACAGAGAAAGCTCTTGTTGTTAACTATGAATTGGAGGCAACCATTCTGGGAGAGCTTGGAGATCCAATGCTGGGAGAACGAAAAGAATGTCAGAAAATGTAAGTGATTAATCCATCCTCGATATCCAGGGGTTACGCTCACTTTCGCTCTGTAGAGAGCGTAGGTGATCGTAACCCCTGGAAATCGAGGATGTGATTAATCAAGCCACTAGTCTTACTCTTAGTGTTTCCTTCATGTCCAAAACATGTAACTGGTTGTTGTGATAGCAGTCCAAAGTACACTGTATAACCGAACTTAGCAAAATAAAAATATTTATATTTTTTTTATGTCATACAATTTTAAGGGTACCATGCCGCTTGCCTTCGCTCTTTTTTCTTATAAGCAGGACACAAATGTTGTTTCTTATTTTTCTTACATATTAATAGTTATTAAATTTCTATTTATACCACATTCATGGTGTAAAACATGTTGAAGATAAAAAAAAAAAAAGGAAAAGGAATTAAATTTTTCTGATGTGTCGTAAAGAATTGATGATTGACATAATGCCACACATGCCAAAATGGGCTCAATTAAAATGCTATATAATTTTAAATTTTGGCTCGCTTTTTCTGCTATAAAAATATTTGTTTTGTTAATACTACTTTAAAAGTGAACTATACAGTTGTTAAGCATATCGAATGAAGTAATAGATCTTTAATGAAAGCATGTTTATTGTGTTACCATTATCTCTGACCCGCTTCCTATAGCTATCTCACCAGACACATGGTTGTAGCCATGTTTACATTATTTTCATGGATTTGCGAATTCGCAAAATGTCACGAGAGAGCATGCTTTGTGTTGGACTAGTCAGGAAAAGGCTTCGCACGCTAATACTTGACCTAAATATAAGTCATTGTAATTTTTAATCTTTTCATACTTATAATATTTATGAAATTTTATTACTTCAATTTAAACCACAGTTATTCATGTTCAGGTTAGATATTGTAACAACAACAAGAAATGCACAAATTACCAATTTCAAAATAGCTTGGCTACGTTGTGTTCATTCCTAATCTAATATTGTTTTATTGTGTTTCCTAATTGGCAGTATACGAGTAAAGAGCCTGAATCCAAACAGTGACCTGTCATCACTGGCCAAGGAGATTATTGACAAGTGTAAACTCATCCACCCTAGTAAGCTACCTGAAGTGGAACAACTGCTGTACTACCTACAGAACCGCAAGGAATCCGAACCTACTAAAGGTAAGGTGTGAACAAGCTTCATACCAAAGGTAAGGTGTAAACAAGCTTCATGTTACATCACTACCTACAGAACCGCAAGGAATCTGAACCTACCAAAGGTAAGGTGTGAACACCACACATACCATAGGTAAGGTGTGAACAAGCTTCATACCAAAAGTAAGGTGTGAACAAGCTTCATACCAAAGGTAAGGTGTGAACAAGCTTCATGTTACATCACTTCCTACAGAACCGCAAGGAATCCGAACCTACCAAAGGTAAGGTGTGAACAAGCTTCATACCAAAAGTAAGGTGTGAACAAGCTTCATACTAAAAGTAAGGTGTGAACAAGCTTCATATCAAAGGTAAGGTGTGAACAAGCTTCATACCAAAAGTAAGGTGTGAACAAGCTTCATACCAAAGGTAAGGTGTGAACAAGCTTCATGTTACATCACTACCTACAGAATTGCAAGGAATCCACATCCCACAAGTAGTTCAATCTTTTTGCTAACAATCTATTAAATCCAGAAACCAAGTTCAGTGGAATAGACTAGAAGTACATCAGTAAGCCATGATATTGATGAATTTAAATCTCAAGTTTACCAGTAATTTGTAATGTTAAGTAATCATATTCACCATTTAGTCATCATAATTCTTTGAAGTTTATATTAATATTGAGGAACAACAATGTTGATTGTAGTCTTGTTCATATATTGACTTTGATCACAAACTTCTCTATCCAAGTAGCAATTTAAGGTAAATGTGGATTTTCAACATATTACAGTAACATATTAATTTATGGAATGTTACCTGCAGATGTAGTACTGTAACATTACATGTATATAGTTGAAAATACGGTAAGCAGTTGCAAAGTAGAGAAAATGATTTTTTTCTTATATATATATAAACTTATTTATTTTCTTTAAGACATTGATTTTGATGCTGATTATCCATATGATTGCAATTAATTTATAAATCCATTTTTACAGCTTCTGGAAAAACACAGCTGCAGGAAAAGCCAGAAGTTCCGACATATGATGCAACGGAGATAGATGAGGTGGCAAATATCAATGATGTGGATGATTACATGGAACTGCTGTATGAGGATGTTCCAGAAAAAATCAGAGGCTCGGCTCTCATCTTACAGTTAGCTAGAAATCCAGATAATCTGGAGGAATTATTTCAGAATGGTAAGATTTTTGATGAACCCCTGTATGTTGTTTAACTTGTCCTGGATTGTAAGCTATACTTGTCCTGGATTGTAAGTTATACTTGTCCTGGTTTATAAGTTATACTTGTCCTGGATTGTAAGTTATACTTGTCCTGGATTGTAAGTTGTACTTGTCCTGGATTGTAAGTTATACTTGTAAACTTTAATTTGTTTGCCACTTTGATGGTATGATCATTTGAATCCTTTTTTTTACATTAATCAATTCAGGACACGTCATCCAAGGAGGAGGGGGGGGGGGGGGGGGGGGGGACATGGACATATATCATACAAACTATACTTGAAACATCTGTATCAACCAACTTATAAAATGTAAGAGATACTTTCTATTATATGAAGTATGGAAATAAATAATAACATTGGGTTGAGTATGTTTAAGTTGTCATGAAAAGCAGAAATTCTCAATTTCAGTTTATATTTAAGATTCTTTAACTTTCCTCTGACAACTCGGTGAGTGTAGAAAAAGGATGTATATATTGATTTGATGATTGCAAGATTCTCCACTCTGAGAAGCCATGTCGGAAATGATAAGACATTATTCTCTACATTCCAGAAACTGTGGTTGGAGCCTTAGCGCGAGTGCTGAGAGAGGACTGGAAGAAAAACACAGAACTGGCCACAAATATTGTTTACACTTTCTTCTGCTTCTCAAGTTTTACACAATTTCATGGTGTCATTCTCCATTTCAAGATTGGAGCACTGTGCATGAATGTTGTCGAGCATGAGCTAAAGAAGTATGATATGTGGAATGAGGAATTGCAGAGGAAGAGGAAAACTGATATCCTTTACTCATGTCTTAGGGCCCAGAAATAATCCCAGATATTTACAGTACACTCCGTAGTGGTTTTAATTTACAAGGATTTCAGACATGTTATTATGAATTTATGTCAATATTCATTATTGGCTTTATTCAATTTCAGAGATTTTCCAATGCAGCATAAAAAATTAGTTGTGATATTGTCAATTGTTTATTCTTCAGTGATCTTTATTAGATTTATATAACCTATTTTGCAATTTTCGAAATATATCGGACCATTTAATTGCTCTTGTGAAAATTAATGACTATTTGTTACTATGATGAATTTGATCTTAACTTCTTGTACCTGAGGGAGAAAAAGACAAGAAGACAAAGGAGGATTTGGAAAAAAGTTTACAAAAATATGATGGACTGGTGAAGAAACAAGAGCAGCTTCTTCGAGGTAGGGGACTTTCTAATGATAAATACAAGTTAAATAGAATGACTTATAGCCTTCGAGGTAGGGGACTTTTTAATGATAAATACAAGTTAAATAGAATGACTCATAGCCATCGAGGTAGGGGACTTTCTAATGATAAATACAAGTTAAATAGAATGACTCGTAGCCTCTTGGCTGTTTGCAATCCTTGTTAAATAAATAACCATATTAATGCAAGTTTTCAATTGTGTTATTTTCTGTTAAGATAAATTAAATAAATGTTACTTGAATAACTTATACCAGGTAATAAGACTTTGATGAGTTTTATTCATTTGTTAGAATTTCGAATAAATAGCCAAATGCAGTACATAAAACAATTGTTTATATTATGCTTGGACTGCTTTAGGTAAACACAGTGATGTTATTTCTTTAGCCTATCTTAAAGTATATCGTTGCTTATGTTCCAGTGGCATTTTATCTCTTGCTGAATCTGTCTGAGGATCTAAAGGTGGAGATGAAAATGAGAAATAAAAACGTTGTGAAGATGCTGGTGAGGTCCATGGAACGGGACAATTTCGAACTCCTTATCCTGGTGGTGTCCTTCCTTAAGAAACTCAGCATCTTTATAGAAAACAAACAAGAAATGGTAATCGCTTGTTTTGTTGTACGCATGGTTTATGTAAATCTAAGAAGCTAAAGGACAGTTTGTTAGTGGGATACAGAAAGAGCCACATTAGTCATTGATAAAGATTCTTCATTCAGATACAGAAAGCTGTTTATTTATCTATGAAGGGGATTAAATCTAGGTCAATAGCAGTATGATTTTGTCAAGTAGATCGCATGTTAAATAATGGAAAATATTCAGTAACTTGTGGACACAATTTCTTTTAATACTTTAAATTCAACGTCTTAAATATAGGTTTAAAAATAAAGAATGTGTGTTTATGATTTTGTGGTCTGTTCTAGGCCACTATGAACATCATGGAGAGGTTTGTGAAGATTGTGCCGTGTGAACACGAAGATCTACTCAACATCACACTTCGACTGCTCCTCAATCTCTCCTTTGACGCCGATCTACGCAGTAAAATGATCAAGTTTGGTCTCCTTCCGAAGCTAGTAGGATTACTGAGTAAGTAAATCTGTATAACTGTTCCCTGTTGATGGTGGTCTTATGACTCCCTACCTAGCAATGATTGACAATCCCAGTAGGGTTTGGCAACTTTTATTCCTTTTAATACTAAATGCAGGTACCAGTAACTACTGTGCTTTGAGAAATAATAAATACAGTTAAACTTTCACCATTTTCACCTTCTGTAATGAGGGCTAATATTCATGACAAGGAATATTAGTACACAGCTTTTTTGGACAGTATTTCTGCTTTGAATGATGACATAAACACTAACCAGATATGGATTTAACAAGTGAATTGTGAATGTTTCCTGTTCTGTAATATTTGGACAGGAAATAAGCAACTCTGCCATGATATGTGTTACAGATAACGAGAATCATCGCCTGATAGTCCTGTGTATCCTGTATCACGTCAGCATGGACGACAAGTCCAAGTCTATGTTTACCTACACAGATTGTATACCAATGGTAAGTAGTGTGTCAATTTTTATTTTTTTATTTTTGCCTTTAAAAAACGTTGCATTAAAGATGGTGTCAAATGGAAGATGACACTCCTATCTTTGACTGGGTTTACTTACGAGATCATTTTTTGCATTATGGTTTGTTGCCAAATTCAATGCCAGAAATAAGGTTTGTTGCTTGTTGAATGGTCCATATCAATATAGATTGCAGGATGAATAGCATACATTGTTAGTATCTAAATTACAAGGCGTTTTTGTAAACTTTATATCTGTGAAGGGCACGAGGATCCACCTTAGAAAACATAAACAGTGTTGGCTCTACTCCCCACATCTCTATATCTGTATGTGATAAAGATGATTTGTCTGTATATGTGATGTTGTAGTGTCGGTGTGTGTTGTACATAAATAAGATATTGTAAAATTGATGAAGATTTTCCATATTTTACGACATGTAGCCTAGTAGATGAAGATGTTTCATATTCTACGACATGTTGTAGGTGATGAAGTTGTTCAATATTTTACAACATGTTGTAGGTGATGAAGATTTTTCATATTTTACGACATGTAGCCTAGGTGATGAAGATGTTCCATATTTATGACATGTTGTAGGTGATGAAGATGTTTCTTGAGAGTCCCGAGAACCCCGATCTTGAATTACTGGCTCTGTGTATAAATCTGGCGGCCAACAAACGTACAGCCCAGATCATCTGTGAAGGCAGTGGTCTGAAGATGTTAATGAAGAGGGCATTCAAGTTCAAGGATCCACTGCTAATGAAAATGATACGGAATATATCACAGCATGATGGACCAACCAAAAATTTATTTATTGTAAGTATAACAGCAGTCTATTGACATTGATATAATGTCCTACACACATACCTACAAAGATTCCACTGTGAACAGTCAGTCAATATGTGTAATCTTTCATATAGGATTCATCATTAATGTGGACTTTCTTCCTACTTATTCAAAACAGTTGTATGTCATTGTGCTTGTACATGATGTTCAGTTTATGAACACAGAGATATCAATAGGGATCAGGGAATCTGTAAGGGTGTGTGATTCTAATCAGGTATCACCTTATCTTATCTTGTTGCAGTAAATATAGCCATTTCCTATCTGTTATGTTTCCCATAAAGTATTAGGGTAAGTTATCGGTGAAGAGAAGCTCATGTGTGGTGCCAAACACCAGCTGAGGTAAGAGATCATGTAGCTCCCATCACTGAATGGTTGTGAATTTTCTGTAGATGACGTTATTGGTTTACAGGACTACATTAGTGACCTTGCTGAGGCGACATTGAATTGTGATGATGAAGAGTTTGCACTGGAAGCCCTCGGAATCCTTGGGAACTTGACCATCCCTGACCTGGATTACGAGTTAATTCTGCGTGAATATAACCTAGTTCCATGGATCAAAGAGAGGCTCATGCCAGGTAAAATCATTTGTACTTATTAATATCAATGTGTCTAATTTTAAATGGGCTATTGAGTAAGACATTTTAAAGTGTCTATATGTTTCTGTTAAAACGAATGAGATAAGATAGAAATCACACTTAAATCATCACAAGTTTCTCTCCTATAACGGTTTGATGTTTTGTTGTGATGTTATCACTCCTGAGGCTATCTGATAAGAGGTTACCAATAGGTGATCATTCTATGTTTGTACTTGGTGTAAGGTTCTATAGAGTCCTACGTATACGCTGGAGCCGATAAGTATAGGTGATCATTCTATGTTTGTACATTGTGTAAGGTTCTACAGAGCCCTATGGTAGAGCAGATAAGTATAGGTGATCATTCTATGTTTGTACTTGGTGTAAGGTTGTACAGAGCCCTAGGGTAGAGCAGATAAGTATAGGTGATCATTCTATGTTTGTACTTTGTGTAAGGTTCTA